GCGGTGGTAGCTCCTGGGTTTCCTTCCCTAGCTGAGCAGTGTTGTGCAGTGAGCCCATCCATAGAACGAGGCTGTTCCATGCCTCCAATGGGCCTGGTGGTGTGGAGTGTGGAAGTACAGTTGGAGAGGGACAGTGAGCCTGTCGGGGATGGTGACATACAGGACCTGCTAGGCTGCAGAGGCACCCTTCTGTCTTGCATGAGCTGTGGAACCCCTGCAGCCAGCTGGGTCATGGCTGACACGGTACACACAGGCCTGAGTGAGGCAGGAATAGCGCTCTGCTAGGCCTAGGGGACCAGGGCCCACCTGCCTGGCTATCTGCACACAGCGGAGGACTCTGGGCTTTATCTCCGTAGCCCCGCTGTCACTGTGGCCAACACAGGCATGCTTATCTAGGGGTGAAGCACAGGGAGCCCTAGAGAGGAATGGCTTCTAGCCTGTGTCACAGGCAGCCTCCCCCATGCCCGTGTCATGCCCTCTGCTTGAGGCATAGCTGCTTCCCCTTATCCCCTGATGCAGGGGCTGCAAGTGACCAGCCACATCACAGTAGCCTCATCAGCGGGCAGGGAAGCTGAGGCTGGGGAGTCAGCAAGTTGTCAGGGTAGGGAGTTGAGGTTGCATCAGCCACCTCCATGATGAGTGAAGGCCGGAAGCACTGGGTCTAGACGAACTCATATACTCAAGGTTTTTACGTCTTGAAGTTTCAAGAATAAGGAAGCGCGAGTTTCATCATCCACTTTTTAAAAGTGAAATCCACATGTGGCACCCCGCTGCGTGACCTGGTCAGGAAACGGTCAGCACCATGGAAAAGGTGCCCAGTCCGGGTGGTGCAGCCTGGCACCTGCTGGCCCTCTGTGCCCTTGGGTAGTGGCCCAGGCTGGGGACTTTTTTTGGCCAAGGAACAGCTGGTATGGATCTCAGGCAGGGCAGGACAGAGTATTGGGATGGCAGAAGAGGGTCCACAGCGACAGGCATACTGTTGTCCCCGTCTTTAAATGTGTCGCTTCAGAGAAGCGGGAAGAGGGACTCCCAACAGCAGCTGAGCCTCAGCTCTTGACAGCCTTGTGCTCTCCCTTCAGAGTCAAGTCAGGGAGCCAGACTGCCACTGGTGTCAGCTCTGCCACACCTCTACCTGCCACTGGGCCTGAATTGGGAGTGATGCAATCGCCTGGCTTCTTGCTGCAACCGGAAGGAAGCCTGCAGGGAGGGGCCGTAGACTTCTTTGCTTTGTGGTCACTCTCACCTTTCAGGAAATGTGAGATTGTCTGGGGAAAGCAGGACCTGCCCCCTCTAGCAAGCTGAGAGTTTGGTGGCTGCGTGGGGACACAGCTCTGGCTAGAAGAAGCATCTCCGTGTCTTGCGCTGCTCATCCTCCTTCCTTACTGCGCGAGCGCCAGGGTTGTTTCAGTGCCAAGGAACCAGTGGGCATTGCATCAGCCAGGACATTGCTGCTGAGGCATGCAGCGATTTCCAGAGAGGCAGGCCCTGCTTCCCGCTCGCACCAGGAGCCTGTCTGTTTTCCTTCACCTGAGATGTCAGGTCACATCCAGTTAATTAGTGTGCATTTGTTTCTTTGAGGCCTGTTCCTCAAATTGCAAAATTACATAGAATTAGTCCAGCCTGGCGCCTGCGAGACCTGAGTTGATGGGGCTGCAGCTCTGTGGGGGGTGAGGAAGGACGAGTGGGGCTTCCTGCGGCAGGGTTGCCCTGCACACGTTAATGTTTGACAGCGCCTGTCTGACATCTATGAAGTCTCCCTTTCCGGTTCCTGGCACCAGGGGGGCTGTAGCTGGGGAGACTGGCAGCTCACCTGGCAGTGTCTTCCGTGCAGATTCAGTGACCACCAGTAACCTCAGGAGCATAGGTGACCGGAAGGTAGCGGAATGGGGCGTGGTGGACAGTGGGTATTCAGACCTTTGTTCTGGTAGAATTTTGTTTCCGTTGTTTTAGAGCAGTTGTTTTTAACCACCAGCTGCCTGAAGGGCCAACAGCTGGCTCCAAGTCCCCACCCACCCCCACATGCTGGGATACGGTGGGTCCCAGGCAAGCCTTGCTGCTCTCTGGGTACTAGTTGGCAACTGCCCATCTGCAGGCCCCAGTCTCCTTCTGGTGCCGTGCCCCTCCCCCCTCTTTCTCAGGTGCCAGACTCTGGGTACAGTTGTTCAGGCGTCTAGAAAACTGGCACTTTTTCATATCTGCCCGTCAAACGGCAATGGGATTGGGGTGTGCACGTTTGTGTCCCGCCCTTGACCACCTGAGCACTGTGGGCTTGTGAAGAAGTCTGGCTTAACGCTCCGAAGGTTACTCCTCACCTGCCATCCCTCTCTTGCTCCCCGTCATCAGCTGTGTCCATGCTGCCTCAGTGTCTCCTCTGGACTTGTCAAGTGGATTCACACAAACAGGCTGGACAGGTGCTGTGCTGAACCCTAGCAGGCTCGAAGTGCTGCCAGAGGTGGGGCCGGCACGGAGGTGAAGCAGCAGACCTCCGGGTGGCAGGTGTGAGCATTGAACTGGAGTCTGAAGTAGGTGCTCTCCTGTAGGGCCTCCGGTGCTGTGGCAGGTGACAGGTGGCTCTGACAGAGTCCGTAGGAGACTTGAGATCCAGTCACTTCAAAGAAGATCCCTTAGGATCATACAGGGGTACCTGGGATCCAATTCTTTTGAGAGTTTGGTGTTTTTAACCTTTGACCTTGGCCCTGGAGAGCCAGTGAGTTTATCAAAACAAGCCCGGAAATCAGAAGCCATGGGAAGGGCCGCTGTGCATGCAAACTGTTTCTTTTGGATCCTTGCCCTGCTCCCAGCCCAGAGGCGTCCTCAACCTTGCCCCCCACACCCACCCACCATGCTGACCAAGTTGTGCTGTGACCACCTGGCAGGTGAGGACTCAGGCTGCTCTCTGTCCCCACAGTGCTGCTCACCGCTGTGAACTGCTACAGCGTGAAGGCTGCCACCCGCGTGCAGGACGCCTTTGCCGCCGCCAAACTCCTGGCCCTGGCCTTGATCATCCTGCTCGGCTTCGTCCAGATCGGCAAGGGTGAGTGTGGCCTTCAGCCTTGGGAACTGTGTGGCCCCTAAGGGTGTGGGGTCCCTGTACTCGAATGCCTGGCATGGACACTGAGTTTGTCCTCTGGGGAAAGTTGAAACCATGCTGGGGCAGGGAACCCTGCATCCCAGGACTGCACACAGACAGGACAGGACAGGTCAGGAACTCTTAACGCGTCTGCTGTTTGTGCAGCCACTTTCATGAGCCCTAACTGTCCCCTCCATGAGTCTGATCTCGTGGCTGGCATCCTGTGTGACAAGCTCTTCTGGGCTGTATTCCTTGTCATATTGTGTTTCCTTTACCTTTCCTTGGTGGGTATAGGACTGTCCCTGCACCTGTGACTGTTGTGGAAAATGCTGCCAGGAATATTCTTGGTGATTCCTGGAGAATGGGGGTTCTTGGTGCTGTGACGGGTGCTGGGCATCGGCAGGCCCTAGGGAAGGCACATGCTTGGCTTAAGGGTTAGGAGTCCAAGGGCTTCCTTAGGAGGAGGATGGCAGTCCCCACAGCACCTGTTCTTGGACATAGGGACCAGGCCTGTAGGTACTGCCATATTTGTAGGACAAGGAACCGTGTTCTTCTCTAATTTAAAAAGATCGGATAGATGTAAAAAACAAGATCTCTCTAATCCCATCACTCAGACATGCCCACCAAGATGGATGCGTGTAATCCTAGCTACTGAGGAGACAGAGATCATGAGGTTTGTGGGTCAAGGACAGCCCAGGCAAAAACCAGACCCTATCATAAATATTCAACACGAGCCAGGTACTGTGGCTCACGTCTGTAATCCCAGCCACACAGGAGGCAGGGATCAGGAGGATCACAGTTTGAAGCCAGCCAGGACAAACTAGTTCACAAGACCCTATCTCGAAAAACTCTTCACAAAAAAAGGGCTGGTGGAGTGGCTTAAGGTGTAGGCCCTGAGTTCAAACCTTAGTACCATTAAAAAAAAAAGAGAGAAAAGAAAAAAAATTTTAACACATACATTCTCTGCGGTGTCACGGTGCAGGTGACCCTTTGCAGGGTGTCTCTGTGGGCAGGTGCACGCGCACACACGTACCATGTACGTCTGTTTTCCTGTCTGTCTGGACCTCCACCTCATGTGTGTCTCACCTCGTGTGTCATGCTTTGTGGTAAGAACACGACAGACCCTGGAACACATTTCCAGGCATGAATTTACCCCCCCTCAGGTACGCTGAAGAAGTGGAGGAGCTGCTCCGAGCCCCACCCAGTGCCTTTGTCCGATTTCTTTCTGCACTCACCCCCGTCCCTTGGCCAGCCCAAGCAGAGAGCAGATGGGAAATGTCTTTGCAAAACTGGGCTGACTCTTCACCACAGGACTGCCCCTAGGAGCTTCTATGGGTGGTGCTAGCTCCTGCCCTGCGAGGTGGGCACCAGTCAGTGCTCAGCAGCCAGCCACCAAATTTCTGCCAGAAGGAGGCCCGTGGTCCTGGTGTGGCCATAGGGCAGGCAGGCAGGACTTCGGACTTTGTATCAGGTCAGGGGATCCCTTAGCACATCAGCAGCTTGGTGTGTCCCTGGAGGCAGCCAGGACCCTTGGTCTCCATTTCACAGATGAGAAGCAGTCAGGTGAGAGAGGTGGGAGTGGGCTGGGACTGCCTCGCCCCTTCCCTCCTTCATGCCTGCATCAAGTCCCCCATCCTGTAAGGCCCAGGGGATTTGCAACAGCAGCTCAGCCCCTCGTGCATGCTGGGCCCCAGCTGTGAATTGAGTGGTGGGGAAACAGAGCATCACACAGTACTCCCACCAGCTTCTGCATGCAGTGAGTCAGCCTCAGTCTTCAAGCCTGGCAGGTGAGGCACCAGAGGCTGAGGAGAGGGTGGTGAGGTGGCAGCTCCCACCTGGAGCACAGCAGCGAAGATCATCTCATGAGAAGGCAAGCCTACCCTGCACCTCAGACCTCATCCAGCTGGGAAGTGCGGCTGATGAACAAGAGCTGGGGGATTTGTTTGGCTGCTGTGATTAGAAAAAGTCAGATGAGGAATTTAGGAGGGAACCTGATTTTTATAAAAACAAATTTAGTTGGGATAGCAAAGGGCTTTTGTTCAGCTTGAATACACAATATGTTTATAATTCTGGTGACTGTGTGATCCCCTACGCCCCTGGCAGTTCCTTTCTGAGCTCTGGATGCAGTGCAGCATTTGCAAAATTCCTATGCGAGTTTTCTCAGGAGGTTTGTTCTGTTCCCGGATGGATGGATGGATGCCTTTGCCCTGGAGGGCGCAGTGTTGGAATGTTGACCCTTTCTCCCACGACAGCTGCCCTGCTGTATTTCCCACTGGGTGCAGAGCTCTGGGACAGCCGTACTGTCCCCATGCTGACGGCAGCTATGCCACCCAGGCCCTTTAATGCAGAGTCCCCAGCTCTGATAGTGCTCACATGAGGTGCCATTCCACCATCTGTGGGCCTGGAGAGCGTGACAAGCTCCTGCAAGCAGCCCAGCCCACGCACCTGGCCTTGGGGCAGCTTCCTCACCCCATCCCCCAAGTGGCCTTGGTGCTATGGGGTTCAGCACCATTTTCCCGTATTCACTGTTCCTGGCTGTTGGGAAGATTGTGAATCTGTGCTTACTCGGTTTTCCCCAAAGCCTTCCTCAGAAATTCCACAGCCCCCACCCATGTGCCAAACAATGAGGATGGAACCTGCTGTCCAGAGCTCGAATCACTGTGTGGGAAATCAGACAGCCTGTGGACAGGACAGTCACAATGAGGGGCACAGGATGTGGGATACAGTTAGTGTGAACACTCTGCAGAACTTCTCACCCCCCAACCCCCCCCCCCGGATTTTGGAGGGCTTTGTCCCCTCTGGGCTGGGTGGGGGGGAAGGTGACATGGGGCCTTGGGGCTGGGGTCCCAAGTGTCTGGATTCAGTCCAGCACTCTCAGAAGTAGATGGTTCCCAAACTGCTATCAAGTCCAGCTGGCCATGGCTGGACTTGTGGATGGAGTCGGTGAGACATGCATGGTGGTGGCTTGGAGAGTGTGACCACAGAGAGGAGCCCTGGAGCCAGAGCCCAGAGCCCAGAAGTGGGTAGGCAGCTAGACAGACGTGGTGGGCGGGTCACCTTCCTGCCTTTGCCAGCTTCTCCTTAACCACAACGCCCAGCAGGGGCCACAGCCCAGGGTCAGGCTGTTCCCAAACATGAGTGGGCGCCAAGCCTTTGTTTCCGAGGCCAGGCGTGGGAGTGGGCTGCGAAAGGTTTCTCTGCCTGGTGATGGAGCCAGGTCCCCAGAAGGGCACAATGGAACCTATTGTGCGTCTGCTTGGCTACCCCACACTAATCTCTCCTGGGCAGTGCTGACTGGACTGGACAGTCCTGCTGATGGGACATGTTCCATGAAACCTTTCTCTCTTCTTTTCCTCCCATGTTGCATCATTGAGATTTGCCCTCTTGTCCACAAAGTGTAGACAGCCTCATCTATGCTGGGCTGTGTGTGAGGAGGAAGTGCTGCCCCTCCCAGGTCCCCACACAAGACACCTGTGCAGTCTGCAGCATGAGTGGGCTCAGCCTGTCTGGCAGTAGATTCAGCAGACTGAGGCTGGCACAGGAGACAGGGTCTGCCTGGCACATCACAGTTATTAAAATGATTGTTTTCACTTGGTACTTGAGTAACTGAGGTCCCCCAGGCTTACAGAAGTGGGGTGTCCTGTCCCAGTCCCAGAGCTCGTAAGCTAGGGGCAGGTCCAAGTGTGACCACAGGCTTGGTGTTCAGGGTCATGAGTTCTGTGCTTGGAGTGCATTGGGGGGAGGGTATCAGGTGTCACGAGGAAGGGGGTTGCAGAGTTCAGGCATGGTGCTGCACACCTGGAATCCTGGCACTTGGGGCTGAGGCAGGCAGGAGGATCATGAGTGGTTCTGGAGGTGTGGCTCAAGCAGTAGAGTACTTGCTTTGCAAGTACGAAGCCTTGAGTTCAAACCGCAGCACTACCAAAAGTTCTGGAATAGCCAGGAGGACGGTCTGGATCCACCAGCATGTCAGGAGCCCACCCAGCCCATTGGATCCATTTCTGTGGAAGGTTCCAGAGGGGACCAGAAGAGACACCCAGAAGCTTTGCACTTACACTGGTGCACTGTAACTTCCACCAGTGTCCTATGTGGATGAAGACCTCAGTAGGATGGTGGCATTAGAGGTGTGGGGCAAGGAGGGAGTACCCAGCCGTGTGGGGACCTGAAACCACTGCCGGAAAACCCTCTGGGATCTGAGGCACAGAGCCTCGTCAGCTCAGCAGTGGGGAACAGCTAGAACTAGAGGCCCAGGGGTTCCTCCCAGTGAGGACTGCTGCGTGGTTGGTGATGGGACCCTCTTTTTCCTTAGAGGCCTTGTGTCCAAGCGTAGCCATATAGGGGCTAGGACTTCAACACCTGGATTCGGGGACGTGATTCTGTTCACAGTACGACCTGAGCTTTGAGCACCTCTCTTCAAACAAGAAACAGGATAAACCTGGGAGGACACAGCTCCTGCAAGAGTCTGGGCCGTGTGTAACAAAGAGGACAACAGCTGCAGTTCACTTTGAGTTGCCACAGCTAATGGGAAAGGAGCGCCCTCCTGGGGACTTCACAGGTTCAGCCGCGTGGGAGGCATCTCAGACAGGGTTGGGTCTTGCTAGGACAGGCAGGATGCCATGCCTGGGACCTCTGCACCCTGTACATGACACGCTCAGGCTCATCCTCCACACCAGATGACCTGTGCCCTGCACGCAGGGATGTCGCTGACTGAGAACCCAGGCATAGCTCCCTTGAGGGAGCCAAGGGTACTGTTCCTCTTCTGGGTGATCTCTCACAATTTGAGTACGTGGACCACTGCAGTCCTGTGCTTCCTCAGCTGTGCAAGAATAGCAGATCTGGAAATCACGTGCGGCTTTACTAGGCCCAAAACATGGGTAGTTGGGTTTTTCCCTGTGTCCTGGGGAGGCCGGCGCCGGAGGCCAGAGCAGCAGAGGGCAGCTCCTCCGGGGAGGAGTACAGCATGGTGGGCAAACACCATCTGACTTAGCTGTAATCTCCAGACCCAAGTCCTGCCCTATCCCCAGCCCAGACATCAGCAGAGCCAAAGAACAGGCACCCAAGCCTGTGGTAGGAGATGGAGAGGGAGCCCTGGGAAGTGGCCTCCAGGAAAGGCCGGGTTCTGAAGGGAACTTGTGTATCACGGCCTCCTGAGGACTGGAGCCACTTAACCTTCGATACCCTGCTAGCACCCACCCAGCCTCAGCCACCGGTCCACCGATCCTGTAGTCAAGGGACTGGGAACAGGTCTAAGGCCTCTGCTGTTCTGTGTAGCGTAGAGTCCTGGTGACTAGAAGTCCAGAATCAAGGTTTTGTCAAGGCTGAATCCTTGCAGAGTTTCCAGGGGAGAAGAAAGAGGGGGATAAAAATTCAGCTAGCACTGGTGGCTCACGCCTGCAATTCTAGCTATTTGGGAGGCTGAGATCTAGAGAATCACAATTCCAGGACAGCCCAGGCAAGCAAGACCATGTCTCCAAAGTAACAGCAAAAGGGGCTGGAGATGTGGCTCAAGTGGTAGAGAAGCACCTGCCTCACAAGAGGGAAGCCCTGAGTTCAAACCCCAGTCCCACCAAAAAAAGAAACACTAAAAGCCGGAGTTGCTGGTAGAGACCTCATCCTGCCTTTTCCAGATCCTGGTGGCAGTGGCTCCAGGTGCTCCTTGGCTATGGCTGCACCGCTCCAGTCTCTGCCTGGATCACACATGGCCATCACTGTCTGTGTCTTTTCTTTGTCTTATAGGAGGACACTTGCATTGGGTTTAGGGCCCACTAATTCAGGACTGCTGTCTTACCTTGAAATCCTTTTTAGATCTGCAAAGACTATCTTTGGTTTTTGGTGGTACTGGGGTTTGAAGTTTTTGGGGACAGGATTCAGCACACTGTAACTGAACTGAGCAGCAGGTAAGAATCCCCACTGTTGAAGGACGACTGGAGGCAGCACAGCAGCTGAACCAGGTTGAGGATGGCTCTCTTGCCACCAGATGTGCCTGTGGCCGTGGGAGCCCCTGTTAGCCCTGAGGTTCTGGGATTTCTCCTGCCTCCTAGCCCCAGTGTTGCCTCAGAGCCAACTACAGTCTGCAGAGTACTGGGTTTTCCCATGTCTGGGGCTCTGGCAATCATCTGACCTGGCCTTCTCCCCTACCCCCCAGCACACAAAGGGCCAGGCAGCTCTCGGGGGACACAGCAGCTTTAGGGACCCTCTGTCCTCTGAGTCAGACGACACAGGATTGGCTGTATCATGGGGATAGAAAGAAGTTGCGTTCTTGATGAATTCCCACTTGTGCTCGTATGGTGGATACCCTCCCAGGCGGCCATCAGTAAGGGGTTCAGGCAGGAGAGACCCCTTGCCGGTGGAATGCTCCCATCCTACCACCATCCCAGCTCCCGAGGGACCCTGTTCTGCTGGTTCCCAGGGCTGCTGGGACCTTTGCAGTATGTGGAGCTTTCAAACTGAGTCTCAGCTTTTGCTGGAGGTCTGAAGTAAAGGAGACCCAGGAGCCGGCCCAAGCTGGGATCCAGCCCCAGTGTGGCACAGCTGCGCCACTTGGCCAGCTCAGGAGGAGTCTGAAACATGCAGGCAAATCCAGAAGAGTGACAGCTCAGGACCACAGCACCATGGGGGCCAGCTTGCTGAGTCTGGGTCCTCCCATCCCAGCCCATCTGTGCTGCTTTCACTGTCATCTTGTTTGCCCTCCCTAGTACTGGGCCTTGAGGGAAGAGGTGCTAGGTAGCACAGAGCTCAGCCCACCCTGCTGCTGGGCAAACCCTTCAGTCATTTATTCCCGCCATCCAGCACCTGGAACTCTGGAAACACAGGTCACATCTGAGCAGGTCTGTGGAGGGAAGACCCAGGGTTGGGCCAATGCAGCTCGTGGGCCAGTGTGACTCAGCCAGTGGATACCACCGGTGCTCCTCTCACACTGATCATGACTCACCTCCCGAAAGTCTCCAGGCGGGGAAATGTCCCATTTGTGTGGAGTGGTTGAAACTGCTGCTCCAGAGTCTGAGTCACATGCTGCCACCTTGCAACTCCCCAGGGCAGCTCAGAGCCAGGCACAAGTGACTGCCTTGCTGTGTGAATTAGATGAGACAAGTGTGGCTCTGGCTGCATCTTGCCCTGGAGACTGGCGGGTAGATCTTTCCTGCCAGCCCTCCAAGCCACCCTGAAACAGTTGCAGAGACAGACAGTTGTGGCAGGAGCCCAGGCTGATGGAAGGTCACCCACTGAGCCACATTAGGCTATGCCAGCCCCACCCAGGGACAGCTTGGGGATTCGTGTCTCTATGTAACCTGTGGAGAAGAGCTTGCGTTTGGCTGGGTGCCTAGGGAAGTTATGGACTCCTGTCCTGAACCGACATGCAACTTAGATGGAGGCTGCTGCAGGCCAGGCTAGTGTGCCATAGTGTCAGACACCCCTCCATCTCTGGACAGTGGCATGGGGGCAGCTTAAAAGACTTGAGATGAGTTAACCGTTCCATCCAGGGAGGGTGAGAAGCCAGCCATCTGTCAGCTGTGCTCGTGGCTGCGTGGTCTGGGGTGTCATTCCTCTCTGAGCCTGGATGTCGTCTACTTTCCTCCAAAGGACCAGAGTACTTGGCATTGAGGGAAGGCAGTCCTGGCAGCACAGCCTGGCCACACTGGTCCTGGGAATAGAGCCACACAGCTAGTTAAGAGAGACCCAGCCTAGCCTCTTACTAGAACCTGGCAAGATTTCTAAACCTTTGCTCCGAGCCACTCATGTTTCCCTGGAGTCACAGAGACTACAAAACCAGAAATCCCAGGAAGTACCCTTCACGGTAGGCAATCTGTCTCAGCACCACCGACCTGGGTGGTGCCTGCAGTATGTGTGGCACCCTGAGTTAGCAGCCTCATTACCCAGGCCTCAGGTTTGCATGTCTGGTTTTGGCTGGAAAACCTTACACCATGTCCCAATCCTCGGTGAGACCAGCCAGTGCCCCTGTGGCAATCAGGTCACAGTGTCATGAGGTTGGAAGTTGGTTATGATGATCAATGTGTCCAAGGCCTCTTGACCGTTGGCCCAGGTGGGGTCCTGGCCACCACAAACAACATGTGCATTTCCATCCTCCAAGGACTTGCCCTGCCCCTAGAGTGTACAACACTGGGGAGTCAGAGCCTCCATTACTGCATGGCCTGGCAGGTCCTCATGACCCAGGCCAGCTGCCCCAGGCCTCCTTTTCTCCACTTCTGGGACACATGCTCCTCCCAGTAAAGGTACATGGGCCAGGCCATGGGACATAGCGGGGTTTTGCAGAGAAAAAAGGCACTGCGCACTCTAGAACTTTCCATCAGACAGCTAGCGAGAGATGCCCAGAGGGGCTGTGGGCAGCTCAGCTGAGGGGCTGTTGAAAGCTGCCCTGTCCTGTGCTCCCTGAAGTGACTACCATGTGACCAGGACATGGGACATGGGGGCTGGGTGGGGTTCTTCAGGAGACCAGACCTGTCTGGGCGGGTAGGGTACCAAGGCACACCTATCCCAGGCTGCAGAGCAAAGTTCCCAGGGTCACATGCAGAACACCGAAAGTGGACCTGGACAAGAACCAGTTCCACCCTGGAGGGGCCCCAGCACGGGACCTGCAGAGGAAATCCTGAGCTGCCTCTTAAGCTGGTTTCTGGTGGCCGAACAAGTCTTTATGGGAGCCTCATTCTGCACCTTTGCACATCACTCCTGTCACCCTTTGGTTGTTTAGTGGCTTAGGTCACCCACAGTAGCAACCTAGAGCATGTCCCAGCCTGGCCTTGCCCCAGCAGGACCTGGACACAAACTCTGTGCCCACAGCCATAGTTCTAACTCAGAAATGGCCCCTCATTATCAAGCAGCTCACGATCTGACTGACACTTCAACTCCCTGTCCCGTTGGCGTCCTGGTCTTGGATTAAATTTCCTTCTTAAAATGCAGCCACCCATGAGGCATGTCTGTGCTGTGGCCACCCCAGGGACCCAGAGCTGTGGAAGCCAGGAACAAAAAGCCCACAGGTGGTTTCTGCAATCAGCGCTGTCAGCCCGGCCATGGTCTTAGCCACTGTTCTCATATATTCAGGTGCAGGTCAGCCTGAGTCCTCCATTCGTTTCCTGGCAGCCTGCACAGTGTCCGCTCTGAGCTCTGTGCAGTGGGAGGCCAGGGTTAGTGGCTTAGGCCTATCACCAGGCCATGGTCCTGCACATTAGGGTCAGGTCCCAGTGCAGGGAGGAGTGGGCAACTGGTCAGATGGCTGAGCAGGTGCCGTGTGCTGCAGTGGAGCGCCTCCACACAGCATTTCTGTCGGGCACTTTGCTTCAGGAACTTTGTGAAACTTGCAGCACGACCTGTGCAGTGTGCTCTAACTACTCCTCTGTCTGCCATCTTCCAGGTGATGTGTCTAATCTGGATCCCAAGTTCTCCTTTGAAGGCACCAAACTAGATGTTGGGAACATCGTGCTGGCTCTGTACAGTGGCCTGTTTGCCTATGGAGGATGGTAGGTTCTGAAATGTCGGGCCCTGTGACTTGGGGACCCAGGTACCTGAAGTGTCCAGAAGCCCAAGTCTCCAGCCCTGCAGGGGCCACTTGAGAGGAGGCAGGTAGAGGGCTCCCGAGTTGGCCCTGGCACACACTCAGCACCACAGCCTGTAGGTCACCGTTGGATGACAGGCAGAGAGCATCCTGACTTAAAAGGCAGCCTCCCCAGCTGGGTTCTGTCTAGCTCTCTGCAGGTGCCTACCCTTGGCTCTGTGCTCAGGACAGAGACTGTGGGGTGAACAGGCAGGGAAGGTACTAGAAGGCGGGAGAGATGACGGATAGGGACACTGTCAGGTATGGTGGGGCTAGGCCATACAGAGGCTAGGCCTCTGTATACTCCTGGTGGAGCTGGCTGTCCCTGCAGAGGACAGTGGAGCAGCCTTCAGCATAGGGCACCCCCGCCAGCACTGCTGGTCAGCATCGAGGGTCTTGGAGCCCCAACACCTCTCACCTCCACCCACGTAGCCAGGAGGGTCCTTCTGCACTCCGTTCTTTTTGTGGGAGTGATGTGACATGACGAAACTGTGCCTTAATTCTAGGAACTACCTGAATTTTGTCACAGAGGAGATGATCAACCCCTACAGGTACATGCAAGACACACTGGTGGGGACGTTTGCGCTGTTTTAACGTAAGGGAGAAGCCACCTAAAAGCCTGCTGGTGGGCTCAGCACAGAAGGCCATGCCAGAGGCCTTGCGGTTAGGGTGGTATGGGTGTGGGGCTGGTTCCTAGGCCTGTGTGACCTGGAACAAGAGTCCCCTGACAGTGGGCCATATGTGCCCCAGGGTCCCCATCCTGCATCTGGTGCCCGCAGCACCACGGAATGACCCTTCCGCCTACTTCCTGGTGGGGGGGGGGTACGCAAATGTCATCTCTCATGGAGGTGGGACTTCCAGAGAGGGGCAGCTGTGCCTCATCCCCGCCCCAGGTCCCCCTAGGTGGGACTAATCTGGGCTGTCACAGATGGGGTAGCTCAGCCCTCAAACCTTCTTGGGCAGCAAGGCTGGCAGGGTTGAATCATTAGTCTGGGTTTTTGCAGCTGCCCAGGCCCAGTGTGAGTGTCTGACGCCTGCACAGACACTGGAGCAGCCTGGCTCCTGTCTTGGGGTCTGGCCCGTGGTCCTGGGCTGTACTTTGATGGCCTGTCTCTGCCCATCCCTTCAGAAACTTGCCCCTGGCCATAATCATCTCTCTCCCCATCGTCACACTGGTGTACGTGCTGACCAACCTGGCCTACTTCACCACACTGTCCACCGAGCAGATGCTGGCATCCGAGGCTGTGGCTGTGGTAAGACACAGCTTGCCACCTCCCCAGGCCTGAGAGGCTGAGGCACCTGCCCCATGTCCAGCCTCCCTCTACCCTGGAGGGGTCCAACAGTTGTCACTGGTCTCCACTGAAGATCAGTGCAAAGGGCCCAAGCTAGCTGCATGGGTTGGGATTGTTATACTCAGGGTTTAAAACCCTGGTGCTTAGGCAGCCCATGGGTGACCCTGGGCATTTGTGCACAGCATGGGGTCCACTATGCACTGTGGTGACTTAGGAGGGACCACCACTGACCCAGCAGCTGGGAGGCAGCTAGATGTCACCAGGCAGCATGCTGGGCCCCTCCACAGTCCCTAAGGCTCCTACCCACTGTCCTCTTGGACTGAAGTCCCCCATGATACAGAACCTGTCACCAAGAGGTGATGGCACTTGCAGAAGCAGGCAAGGGGGCTGCTTAAATGACCAAAAGTGAGGCCGCGCCTGGGGCTGAGGCTCACTCTGCTGTGTCTGCCTAGGACTTTGGGAACTACCATCTGGGAGTCATGTCCTGGATCATCCCTGTCTTTGTGGGTCTGTCCTGCTTCGGCTCAGTCAACGGGTCACTCTTCACATCCTCAAGGTAAGCACTGAGCACAGACAGGGCCCTGCAGCCTGCTGTGTGTAGCGAGGTGTGGCTGTTAGGAAACATGGAGGTGAGGGAGCCAGGGCCTTTGTCACCCTGCCCCATCCAGTGGTAGCACAATTGCTGTGTCCTACAAGACCCCACGTGAACACCCCTGGGGTGGGCTGGAGCCGAGGACACCCCAAGTTTCTGTTTCTGCCAGCTAAGTGGTCAAGGACAGCGAAAGCCCGATAGCCAGGAAGTGAGGCCCCTCGCGCTGCCCCAGTGAGGCTCTGCTCCCCGCCCTACTGTCATCTAAAGTTCATGCACCAGGTGGAATGGAGGCCAGGGCTGATGCCCTCTGATCTGTCCACAGGCTTTTCTTTGTGGGGTCCAGGGAGGGTCACCTACCCTCTGTCCTCTCCATGATCCACCCACAGCTCCTGACGCCTGTGCCGTCCCTCGTGTTCACGGTAAGCCTGCACCCTCCATCCCTGAGATTGTCTGAGGACTCCTAATCCACACACTACAGCACCAGGCGCCAGCTAGCTGAGGAATTTTTCAGGTTTTTAATCCCATATGTAATATGTGGTTGTTGTAAAGAGCTCAGTCAAGCTATCTGGACGCCTGTGAGGCGAAGGCCCCACCCCCAGGGAGCCTCTGTTTACAGTCACTGCCTCTGCTGTGGCTTCTGGGGCTCGACTGCAGTCCCAGAAGTGTGCACTCACGCGTTTCTGTCTTAATGGGCTCCATCCTGCACGTTTTTCCCAGCCACCTTTCTGTACCATTTTGTGTGACTGCATGAGTTCTCTAGTGCTGTTGAGGCTGCTGCCTCCGCCAAGGGCTGTGCCAGGATTGAAGCACCACTTCCACCACGGCTGTGGCCAGTCTCCTTCCCCAGCACATGGCCTCTCTGGGGGCAGCTGGGGCATCTCCTGATTGGCTGGCTGGCCACTGAGCAAGGGATCCTGGGGGAGAGAAGAGAAAGCCTCGTGTCTTTTATGGCCCAGCCTAAGAAGTCAAGCTGAGACAGTAAACACAGCCACCTGAAGCACAGGAATTCGGCTCCACCGCTGGAAATGGCCTCAGCTTTGAAACAGGTCGCGGCAGTGAGTCTGGGGTGCAGGCTCCCACTCACTCTGCCTCCGCCTGTCCTGGACCTGCAGGTGCCCTCACAGTGGTCAGATAGGCTCCCCTTTGAAAGCAAGAGCAAGTGAGTGACTCCGCTGGACACCAGCCAGGCAGGACATTTCCTGGGTCTCGGGTGACCTCCCTGGCCCTCTCTGCTTTCAGTGCATCATGACCCTGCTGTACGCCTTCTCGAGAGACATCTTCTCTGTCATCAACTTCTTCAGCTTCTTCAACTGGCTCTGCGTGGCCCTGGCCATAATTGCTATGGTGTGGCTTCGCTTCAAGAAGCCTGAGCTGCCGCGGCCCATCAAGGTGAGCCCCCGCCCGCCCTCACAGAGACCTGAGTTCACCCCACCGCCAAAGAACTACACCTGGGCCGAGTGAACGGTTCTTAGCGCGGTCAGCAGAGGGTATCAGTTACTCCAGCCAACCAACAGCAGTTTGCCAGGACTTCATGATCCCCGGGGAGGGGCAGTGCACGCTGAGCTGTGGGGGCATAGCAGGTGCGTGAGTTGGAGTGAGGGCAGAGCCCCTTGGTGGCCGCCAGCCAGCAGCTCCTGTCCACCAGTTCCTTGAAACTCAGCCATACCCACCGCAGGTCTTCTCCCTGTCCCTTGTCCAGCAGACATCACAGTTGAGTGTAGCCTGGATCACAGAAGGGACGAGAGTAGCTCAGTGGTTCCGCCACTGCTCTCCTCCCTGTTTGTAACCACGTATGGGGCCCAGGGCTGCCAGTTGAGCTCTGAGGCATGCATTTTAAAACACCAGTCAGTGTGAGGCCCCAGCAGAAGCCCTGATAGAAGACAGTCCCTGGTGCATCCGGGAGGACACCCCACCTTCAGGGGAACCAGCTTAGGCCTCTTGCACCCATTAATTGGGAAGGTTCTGGGGACAGGAGTCAACAGGAAGATGCCAGACTGTTCATGCTGGCCTGTGGAGAGCAGATGCCAGGAACTGTGGGCTCTGTCCACTGGGGATCTGAGCATGAAGCAGGAGTCTGTTCCCTGGAGCCCCTTTCTCAGGGTGACCTGTGGTCTGTAGGTTGAGACAGGTGAATGTCAGACCTGCCCAGCACAATCCCACAGCAGAGTGCAAGGAACAAAAGGCTTGACTGTCTGCTGGCCTCTCCTGAGCCCTGCAGGGAGTCCTGTCTCCTCTGCTTGTGCAAGTTGTGGGTTCAGGGTGGGAGTCACTCGGGCCATCCAAAAAGGGTTCTCTAAGAAGGCAGGACTGTTGCTTTTTGGTGAGTGGCCAGGGTCTTCCCAGAAGCGCCATGATGACTGCTGTGGCTGGGACTTTCCATTCCTATGATATGGGACTGGTAGGGCTGACCCTTGCTAGGCTTCCAGAGACCAGGCTGGTTCTTTTCGTCCTCTGTCACCACTGGCCAAGCTTTGGGTAATTATGTGCCCGGTGCCGTGGCTGAGTTCAAGGTAAAACGGGGCAGGATGTGACCTTTATACTCCACACACCCCTGGCCTGTTTTCAAGGTGCGAGGGTCGGGGAACAGGGTGTGATTGGGCATCTTGGGCCAGGATGGCACGGGGTTGGATGGAGAAGGTGAAGAAGGAGCACACACAGCCAGCCACAGGCCATGGATGAGGACCACAGACCACAGGTGGTATGAGGAAGGAGCAGGAAAGCCCTGGTCACTTGTGCCCCTCTCCATCCTGCTCCAGGTGAGCCTCATCCTCCCCGTGTTCTTCATCCTGGCCTGCCTGTTCCTAATCGCCGTGTCCTTCTGGAAGACGCCCGTGGAGTGCGGGATCGGCTTTGCCATCATCCTCAGTGGCCTGCCCGTCTACTACTTCGGTGTCTGGTGGAGGAATAAGCCCAAGTGGCTCCTGCAGGGCATCTGTGAGTGTCCGGCTGCTGCCCCCAGCCAGGGCGGGTGGATACGAGGCCTGCTGTCACCAGCATGCAGGCCGAGTGGGTTGTGCAGGGCACTGGGCTTCACAGAGGGGTCCAGGGCATTGGTGTGTTGGCGGCCCACATACTTCGGAGATGAGACATTCAGCTCAGCACCAGCTAATCTCAGAATAGGGATTCCAGAGAACCTCGCTGCTTCTGCCAAGTAACAAACCCTGCTGTCGGTCACCAGCTTAGACACAGCGCCTGACCCAGAAAGGCCGAGGCAGAGAAAGCAGTGCGTCTGGCTCCCGCAGCCCCAGCCCAAGGCTGGTTCACAGCCAGGTTTAGGCCCTTGTTCTCAGCCCAGAGCAAGCAAGTCAGGGCCTGTGGACCTAGGATGGCCCCAGTGCAGGCAAGGAGACACTTATTCCCAAGATCCAACCACACGTGACAGGGCTGAGAGGCTGTAGCCACTTGAGTAGGACATCTCTTGATCATTGTTCAGGGCCTGCAAGAAGGGCCATCGTGCCCAGCTGCCCTTGAAGACTCAGTGGACACAGCTCTGGCCTGCTGCCTGCCACACTTTACCCCCCTACACTAGCCACTGCAGCTGGGCCACTTCGGCATCTAGCCAGGAGCTGCAGGCCATGCACTGGCCCTGCGGCAGCCACCCAATGCTGTATGAACTAAGTTTCATATAAAGTTTGGGGTTTTGGATTCCTGCAACTTGAAGTCATTGGTAATGTAGGGCTGGGTGGACAGTGGGCTGCAGGGCCCCGTGCACCCCATCTGAACTAGCTGTCCTCTCCCCTGCAGTCTCGGCCACCGTCCTCTGCCAGAAGCTGATGCAGGTGGTCCCACAGGAGACCTAGCCAGGAGGCCTGGCCTGCCAGCAGAGCTCACATGGCCATTTCCAGACAGCTCACCTTCAGAAAAGCAACTCCCGGTCCCTGTCACGTCCCCACAGCTCCTCTGCACGCGGCCAGCCACCCAGCATCATCTCACTGTCCCTGTACATCCAGCACTCAAGGCAGCTGTGAAAACTGGTACGAATTTAGGCCTGAAAGATGAACCTCCCCAGGCCAGAGGTAGGAGCTGTGAGCTGAGGAGGCTTGGCATTTCTGTCCCCACAGGGACTGGGGACAGCCACACAGCAAGCCTTCTCCCTTCCTTTGTTTGTTTGGGTGTTTGGGGTTTTTTGTTTGGTTTTTAACTTAAATTTCCATATCTGGCATCTTGGTTGAGGTCACCAAGATGATCTTTTAAAGCAGTGAGGCAGCAAGGGGCAGGAGAGGCTCTTGGACCTAAGGCTGCCCACACACAGTACAGCATGACTCAGAGGGACCAGATCACTGTCACCAGGTGGACAGAACTACTGAGACTGGACGTCACCAACTCAACCAAGGTCTTACACTGACAGCCAGATGCCAGCCCAATGTAGGGCTTGGCTTGGTTGTTTTGACTGTTTTTCTGAGGTCTTTCCAGGACCTCTTGTATGCTAGGCAAGTGCTCTACCAGAAATCACACCCCAACTCTATCATGTATAGACATGAGAGAAGTCCCCCTGGGCTTAGGCCTCTGCCCCCAAAGAGGAAAATCTCAGCAACGCCGCTGCCTCCATAGAGAGAGGAGCTCAGGGGAAGAACCAGACCTGCTGGCCCACTGCAGGGCTGTGCTCTGAACACAAGTCCCAGCTCTGGGGAATCCAGAGCTCTGCATCAGCCAGCACTGCCCCAGGAACCTTCTGCAGCACCTGGTTTCTGAACTTGACTGCTGTGTGCACATGCACCCCAGACCCTATCCTGAAGGGACAAGCCCTGGCATGGCAGCGCCACCTCCTGGTGGGTTTGGAAGGCCAAGCTCTGGTTCCTGCAGATAAAGCCCTGCAGCTCAGCTCTCCCAGAAATAGACCATAAAGGAGACTTCATGGCCCCAACCCGAGAGGCTCCCATCCACAGACTGGCCACTCCTGGAGGTTGAGGCACTGCAGCCCATCACAGGCTCAGAGGAATCAGCCTCTGTCATCTGCTGACTGGATGGCAGCCCACTCCTGGCCATGGTGCCCCCTGCCCATCCTCTCCCCAGTCCTCTGTGACCATTGTCCAGAAAATGAAGCCAAGCATCCCACCTCCTCTGCTACATGTGTACCCCTGTGCTACCTTGAGGACGCTGGCTCTGCAGGGTGAAACGCTGCTGCTCTGCACAGACCCCTTGCACTTCCTGTGGAGGCACTACCTTTCCAGCTTCTTTTTCCACTGCTCCCTGAGGGAGGCAGCTCTGGCCCCTCCACCATGTCCAGCTGTGCTTACTCCTGAGCTGTTGCAGATTTCAGGGACTTCACACTACAAGAAGCCTCTTCCTGTGCCCTGGGTAGCTGCCGCTGCCCCTAACCACTGTCCTGGGAGATGGGCTGCAGGAACTACTGTACAGAAAGCAGCTGCATGGGCCACCCTGCAGGGCCTGTCATGGTCCTAGGGTCCCGTTTCACTTGGGCATTGAGAGGCCAGGGCATCTCCTACAGGGTGGCTCGCCCTAGGATCTGGGCTGGGGCTTCTCACCTGGGAAGTGAGTTGTGGGGGGGACCCAGACTGGTCCTGGGGACTCTGCCCCCCAACCTAGCCTGGGTTCAGAGAGCAGAGATGTTTGGCTCCGGCCTGCCTGTCCACACTGAGAAGACACCTGGCTCTGCTGTTCTTGAATCCGGGAGGGCAGGTGGGACCAACCACAGGCTGTTGGGGAAGCCCTGCTCCGACCACACTCCACTGAGGAGTCCCAAGGGTTCCCAGCCGGGGTTTGTTTTCTTTTAAAGCAAATCATTGTCTAATCTTTGTTCAATTCTTTGTTTTTTGTTTTGTCCTAACATACTACTAATGGAAAGGACGCCGTCAGCGCCGTGTTTATTTATTTCCAGTGGCCGGCAATTCTGCCTCACAGTTTTCTGTGATGTGTGTGGCACCTAGTCTACAGCTAGTCCCCACCACCTTGGGCCACCCACTGTGACATCCTGAGTTAAGGACATTACGGATGGCTGTGACGTTTTATTCTTGTGTTAATGGCTAACTGTTACACTAGGCCGGTTGGGGTAGGGAGTTTTGTTTTATGGGGTTTTGTTTTTTAAAAAAAGACGATTGGAATTCTAAATATTGCCAATGGTCTTCTGTGTTCTTTTCTTCAGCGTCAGATTCTGGGTGTGGAAATGTCTGGGGTTCCCTGTGCAGTCACAGACAAGCCCTGAGGCCCTACACTCCGGGGCTGGATGTGGGGGGATAGGGGATGGGAGGGGATGTGGCACAAGACCATAAGTGAGCGAGAACCAAGTGTGACAGACAAGCTTGCAGGGAAGCCAGGCAGGGGGCTAAGCAAAACCCCAGGGGCTGGGGAGGCACTGAGGCACAGCGGAGAAGGTTCCGGCAGAGGACCTGAGCAGGAGGGGCTCGGTCTGGCAGGACCAGAAGAGCCGTGAATTGGGGTGAATGTGCTGGGCGGACCAGCCTGAGACCACCAGACACAGCACTGAGAGGAAGGAAGGGGAAGGAGGCTCTTTTGTTTCTTGCAATACATGAAGGGTTTTTTGAGATAGGGTCTCATGAACTATTTGAACTGCTGACTTTGAACTTCGATCCTCCTGGTCTCTGCCTCTTGAGTAGCTAGGATTACAGGCGTGAGCCACGAGCACCCGGCTTCTGTGAGACTCTTAGGCCCCTCATTTGTTGGGCCAGGTTCAAGGCATGGACAACCTGAGGACCTCTTACCAGAGTCGGTGTCTTACGTGGCAAGGGCCAGCTTGTCCCCCACCCTACAGTCTTATCCTGGCACGCAGTGGGGAGTGGCCAGGGCAGCCTCCCCGGTCCTGACTTGGTCCAATCTTCAAGTCCCACCTGCTGACTTGAAGTCTGGAAAGAGTCCCCAGGGCTTGTCCTCAGCTCCCTAGAGTGCTAGTGCTGTGTGGAATCATGTTGGGAACATGACTTTGGGGGGCAGAGGGCTGCTGAGGGCTCCTGTGGACCTGAGGGAGGGTGCTTTTCCCCAGTGCTGGGCCTGGGGCACTTCAAGGCCTGCCAAGGGTTCTGGGAGGCTAAATGATGCCCTGTACTGTGAAGCTAAGTGAAATCTTGATGGCATACACAGCCTCTCCCTGTTTTTAGGAATAATTGAATTGACTGCTCTCTGAAGTTGTTGGGGCCTGTGCCTCCCAGCTGGGGAAGCTGGATGTCTTCAGGAGTATGTGTGTCCCTTTTGTGAAGTGACAGTTGGAATGGGCTTGCCTGCTACCTACCTCCAGGCAGTCTGTGTCAGCCTGTTATCCCAGCCCCTGAGCTGTCCTAAGGCTGGTGGCCTCGGAAGCAAAACACAGGCTGTTCCCTGCACACACACTGGCTCTCCTAGGGCTCCCAGCCTCCCGGTCATAAGGGAGGGGATGGCTGTGGGAGCCAAGGTGGGCTTCACAGGTGACTCGGCTATGACGCACCCTGACTTCAGGTGGTCATTTGTGAGCTCTCGTTCCCACCACCATGCTCTCTAGGCAGGGGTGCCTCTCTGTCACCCTCCAGCCAGAGAGGAAGTACCTGGGCAAATAGTTCACGAGACCCCATCTCGAAAAATCCCCTTGTAAAAATAGGGCTGGTGGAGTGGCTCCAGGCGAAGGCCCTGAGTTCATGCCCCAGTACTGCAAAGAAAAAAAAAAAAGGATGAACCTCACACTGCCTCCAGGATTCTAGAGAGAGAGTCACACTCCACTGGGGCCTTCTCTGGTCATTCCTGGACCTTGGACTGGGTCCCTTCAAGCACCCTATACACATGACATCTTTTTGGCCTTTTAAAGTGTTTGCAAGTCCTCAGCCTCCCTCCAAGAACACTGCAGAGATGGTGGAGGTGGGGAAACCCCTAAGCGTCTCATCCCAGGACGGCAGGATGGGGAAAGGCAGAGTTCAGAGGTCAGACGAGTGTGCCCTCTCCCCAGCCCCACCCCCTGCCGTGGTGGACGGGGAAACTTTGCATTTCTCTAATGCCAGCTGGGTGGTGGGGAGGGGCCCCCTGCAGCTCCTCCATCTGAACCACTGGGGGCCCTGGCTCCCCTGCTGGTAACCTGTGCTCTGCCCTGGAGCCTGACCGCACCAGTCCCACCTGGGAAGGTGAGCTGACCCTCTGGCAGATAAGGTGGAGGCTGGTGTTGCCTCCTCAGAGGAGAAGCCTGGCTCCCAGCGGTACCTCGCCTGACAGCGGGACTGGACCCATGTGTGTTAGCACACAGGGAGGGGCCCCACACCTCCACACCCGGAAGGGCAGCTGTCCCTGCATCCCACAGGACTGGCCTCCCTTCCAGCTGTCCTCTTTACGGGCCTGATGTCAGCCTCCGTGTTGCCTCTCAAGCATCAGTCATCCAGTCCTGTTTCCTGTGAAAACGCAAATCTCCACCTTACCTCCACCCCAAGGCTCTCAAGCTCTGTCCTTCAAGTCTTCATCCTTGTGCCAGAAACTTCTAAATTCCTACTCTTGCGTATGCACGGCCATGCAAAGTGGTGCCCTGTTCAACTCTTGGGGTCCAGTTCCAACAAGACCCAGATCTTCCCTTGTAGCCAGTGACTAAACCCTGCAAGTAAGAACTCAGCTCCATGATTAAAGTCAGCCACTTAAAACAACCCCCCCAGGGCCCCATAGACCCTTGGCAGACAGGTCTCTACCTGTTTGATTTGAGAGCAGATCCATCCTGGGTCTAAGAAGGTGGTGGAAAGTTCCAGAAGTTCCCTCTCCCTCCTTGACCTCTGTGTGTTCACCCTGACCCTCCCTTCTGAGCTCTCTGACCAGAGCCCCGGCTCCAGCTAATCCCAGGAATTTCTCAGAGAATCCCTTAATCCCCAGCAACTCCTGACTCGCCTTGGGAGGGCCGGCAAGCCCCGGGTGAGGACTCCATCTCAAAGTTTTACTACATTCACCTCCTTGGCACAAGGCTCCCGGGGAGCCAATTTCACCCAGCTCTCAAACACTTCGTCCTTCTGTGTGTCAAGGGCTCAAAGGAGCTCTGGCTGCCCACCCCCACCCCCCCACGCAGGCCTTCACTGCCGTGACCTCCAGGCCTGTGTCCCCCTCCTGGACTCTCCAGCCTAGGTCTCAAAGGCACCTTGTAGAAGTGCAGGCCCCATGCAGAAGCTCTCCATTAAAGCAGCCCCTGTTTTATTTCCAAACTTGGCTCAGGCCCTTTAGTTGGGTTGAGAATTCATGGAGAATAATTTGTCAAATAAAAAACAAATCCAGGGGGTGGTGGAGTGTCTCAAACGGTAGAATGCCTGCCTAAAAACAAAGCCAGACTTGGGAGGAGAGTTTTTTTTTTTTTCCAGTTTTTGACAACTTTAAAGGATTGTTGCAGCCAGGAGCTGGTAGGTTACTCCTGTAATCCTAGCTACTCAGGAGGTAGCGATCAGGAGGATCCAGGTTTGAAGCTAGCTTGGGCAAATAGTTCTCGAGACCCTATCTGAAAAAACAGGTCTGGAGGAGTGGTTCAAGTGGTAGAGCACCTGCCTAGCGAGCATGACGCCCTGAGTTGAAGCCCCAGTCACACACCACCCCCAAAGAAGAAGGATTGTCACGGGGGCGGGGGAGGACACTCCACTCTGCCCATGTGGTCCCCAAGGGGAGACAGCCAGTGACAAGGCAGAGAAAGGGAGTCAGGCCTCCCTCTCCAGAGGCAGAGCTGGAGTCATCTCAGTTGTCTGGGGAAGGGAGTTAAAGCGTGGGGTTTTTCAACCTGCCCCGTGGAGAGATGGGGGTGTTGGGCTGTTCTTGGGCACAGCCTTCCCCACGCTTGGACCACCTGTCGCTTCTCCCACAACCCAGGATGCCCAGCCGACATCCTTCGTCGGGCTGTCTGACGTGATACGGACATTGATACGCTCCCCCGGATACGGACATTGAGGCCACAGTGAGCAAAAATCAGAGACTTACTGCTCATCCAGTTACCCCACAGCCTGCCTGCAGTGGACAAGAGGAAGCAGGAGCCAGTGTCCAGCTACTTGGTCCCCCCTTGGTATCATAAAGGTGCCTGCTCGTCACCGGCACCAGGCTGGGGAAACCAAGGCTCACGCGTAGTGGAATAGCACCATAGTAAAGACAGGCAGAGAGCATGAAATTCTAAAATTGATGTTTGCCAGGCCCTCGTCATAGGCTAGAAACAACTCAACTGGACAGTCCTGCAGTGTGTGACGCCTACTTCCACAGAGTGCCACCCGAGGCAAGGAGACGGAGACTTACGAAGCAGGCACAACATAAAGAGAGCCACAAGGTGCAGAAAACTGTGTGG